GCTGCCTCTCCCTGAGCCTGGTCCTCCTGGAGGTTTCTTCCTGTTAAAGGAGAGTTCTTCCTTCCTGCTGTCACCAAGTGCTGCTCAAAGCTAATCGTCTGATTGTCGGGGTTTTTTACTCTGACACTGTAGGGTCTTTACTTTAAACTGGTGTTATATAAAGAAGACTTCATTCCTGGCACTTGTGTACTTGATATAATAATGCATATTTTTGTATGGTATTAGTATCTCATATTACTGTCTATGCTGCTGGATGTAGCAAGGTTGTAGGCTGAGTGAACATTAATCATGAGGTTCCTTCATCATATGATGCGTCTCCTCCTCTCAGCAGGTTCCTTAAATCATTGTTGAGCTGTTGCTATAATCACACTTAGAACAACAGTTGTTTGTATTTACATATCTGGCAGCTGCTGCTACATTGTATAAAACTTAATTAAAAGCCCCCTCAGTAGCAGTGTTTATAATACAAAACGATGAAGCCTGGATAAAAGTTACAATGCGTGCACACTGGAGACACTTAAACACACTTTTAAACAAGAAAAGCTCCAGCATTCACCAGTATGAGTTGATGATTTTGCAGAAGGCTAGCTCACAGCACATCCTCAGGTTGCTCTGGTGTTCTGGCAGGTCACCTGACGAACACTTGGATGGATCGACCTCACAGTTCTCATCCGACTCGTACAGAGCTTTGATGAACTCGCCTACAAATTAAAAAACAAAAAGAGTTAAGGAACATATTTACTTATATGTTTCCTTGTTGATATGTCATATAAACAGTTGAGCTCTCAAAGACAACAAGAGCCGTCAGACTCGCACAACCCAAACAAGGTCGTGCAGAAGAATTGCGTAAAGGAAAAAAAAAGGCAACAACACATAAAAGTAGCGAATTTGAAGTTTGGCCGTGGTCTGAGATTTTTATTCCTCTCTAATCAGCGTGACTGAAAATGGAACAGCAGCGTCTTGAGTCTCTGGTGGTCTAAAAAGGAAAGCTTGGCCGTCCTTGTGCTACCCTGGGTCCAGTGACATCAAACGCTTAGCCAGACGTCAAACAATAAAAGCAACGCAGTGATGCATCATTTTCCAGACCTCAAATTCTGTCTGAAGTCAGCCAAGTGAAAGGCACGCAAGGAAACAAGCAGCAATTTGAAGACAGCCAGAAAGAGACACTCATGTGGACAAGAAGAACACAAACACTAGCAGAATACCATAAATAAATAAATTAATTAAAATCTAAAGTTTTAAAAATAGGTGCCAGAAAGGCTGGGAGCCATTTACAGATTAGCTTCTGCTGCTTTGTCTCTTCTCAGAAGAACATTTTTAGAATATTTTCTCCTCGACCGTCTCTGATTTGAATACAAATTTTAATGTCCAAAGCTTGAATTTATATAATGATCGCGGTGCAAAATATCTTTCAAAGCCATTTCTTTTTTGAAAAACGGTCCATTGAGCCCATTCAAGCCATATTTTTGCACAGTGACATACATCAAAGGCAAAGTTTGAACATTAACATCTCAAAAACGATTAAAGATGAAACCCTGACATTTTCACTGGACTCTCTTGAAATATTCAGTCAATAAATTAAAAAAAAATGCAATTTTCATTCATCTTTGATGGTAAAATCTGACCAAGAAAACATTAATTATGATTTATTTTGATTTCAAAATATGCACATATTTAACTAAATT